TCCGTGCTGCTTGCAAAATCTCGGCGAACTGTTGGGCTCGTGGGACTGGATTGTCGGGGTGTGGGGTCATGGGTACTGTTGGGTCCTGTCCGTAGTTCAGGTAAAACGGGGACTGTTGCGTCGTGGCTGATGGTGCGTTGTTGTACGCGAACTCGATGAGCGGCAGCTGATGTTCCCACGTGTTCGGATCGTCGCACGTGACTCGAATCAGCTGCTCCATGGTTTGGTTTGTCCGTTCCGTCTGTCCGTCGGTTTCGGGGTGATAGGATGAACTGAATTGAAGTCGTGTGCCGAACTGCTGCCACAGGTTCCGCCAGAAGTTGCTGGTGAATTTCGTGTCGCGGTCGCTGATGATTGCCGATGGTATCCCGTGGAGGCGAACGACGGTGGTGATGAAGAGGCGGGCTGTTTCTTCGGCTGTGATTGATTTCTTGCATGCTGCGAAATGTGCCATCTTCGTCAGTCGATCGACGGCGACCAAGATCGCGTCGTTCCCACTCGCCCCGGCCGGTAACCCCGTGACGAAGTCCATCGTCACCTGCTGCCAAGCACGCTCTGGGGGTGGGATCGGCTGCAACTGTCCTGCCGGCCGCTTCCGTGATGATTTCATGACCTGGCAGGTGGGACACGATGCTACGTGTCGTTGGATGTCGGTCAACATTTCTGGCCAGTAATAATACCGCTGCAGCTGCTGTCGTGTTTTTTCTACCCCGAAATGTCCTGAGGTAACTCCGTCGTGTGCCTCTTGTAACAGTAATTCCCGTAGTAGTGTATACCCGGGTACCCAAATGCGGTCGGTCCCAACCTTTACGTAATAGATCCCTCGTGCTGCTGCGAACTGCTGCGAGTTGCCTCCTGTAAAGAACGGGTCGGTTTGGTATCCGTGGGTAAATAGGCCTGTCAGCAGTGGGCTGGTCTGGGCGAGTAGTATCGCGTGAATCTGGGCAGTAGGGCGAGTCAGTGCATCGGCGATATTTGATGCTCCTTTTTTGTAGGTGACCGTGTAGTGAAAATTCGACTCGAGGAAATCGAGCCATCGAATCTGTCGTGGGTTGAGGTGAGGCTGTGCGCGGAGGTACTGTAGAGATTTGTGGTCTGTCCGTACTGTCACGTCTGCGCCGGTCAAGTAACAGCGCCACACTTTGAACGCATGCACGATCGCAAGCATTTCGCGATCGTGTATCGGGTAATTCTTCTCAGGTGGGTGCCGTTTTCGTGATTCGTATGCGATGGGCTGTAGGCCGTTCCCGAAATCCTGTAACAGTACGGCTCCGATGGCGATGTCGCTTGCGTCAGTAATGACTTCGAATGGGCGGTGTGGGTCGGCAATGCGCAGGACAGGTGGTGAACAGAGAACAGTTTTCAGGGTAGAGAAGGCAGCATGCTCTTTCTCCCCCCACGTAAAAGCGACCCCTTTCCGCAGCAGATCCGTCAGTGGGGCAGTTAAGCGGGCCATGTCAGGCACGAATCGACGGACATAATTAACGAAACCCAAAAAACTCTGCAGCTCCGTGATGTTTGTCGGGGGTTGCCAAGCGTTGACCGTATCCAGCTTCTTCGGGTCAATCTCAACCCCAGCCTCTGAAATAACGTGCCCCAAAAATTCTAACCTATCCCGAAAAAACTCGCACTTAGACCCCTTAGTCAATAAACGATGCTCCTCGAGAATTTTAAACACTGCTTCCAGGTCCGCTAAATGCTGCTGCTTATCGCGACTGTAGACGAGAATGTCGTCGAGGTAGACGATCACGCACTTATCTAAAAGTGGTCTAAACGCCTCGTTCATGGTCATCTGGAATGTTGCGGGTGCGTTGGTTAGCCCGAAAGGCATCACGGTGTACTCGAACGACCCGTACCTAGTTCTAAAAGCTGTCTTGGCGCAGTCCGATGGTTCGACTCTAATTTGGTGGTAACCTCCCCGTAGATCTATTTTCGAGAACACCCGTGCTGTTCGCAGTTGGTCGATCAGTTCGTCGGCGCGGGGAATGGGGTATCGTGACTTTATTGTAACCCTGTTGAGCGCTCGGTAATCGATGCACATGCGAAAACCTCCGTCTTTTTTTGGTGTGAATAGTATCGGTGCGGCGAACGGCGACGAGCTCGGTCGGATAAACTGCTTTGCTAACAGGTAATCTAACTGCTTCCTCAGTTCGTCGAGCTCCGGCTGTGTCAGTCTGAACTGGCGCTGTACAGTTGGCTGTGCCCCCGGCTCTAACTCTATCCTATGGTCGTGCGCCCGCTGAGGTGGCAGTCCTTCCGGTAAGTCGTCGGGGAAAATTCCCGGGTACCGTTTCAATAGCTCTTGTAGCTCCGGCGGTACCGCTGTCAGCAATTTCTGGAAATCACTCGGCTGCTCATCTTTTTCTACCACTGCGATGTCTACTGCATACACGTCAGCTCCAGCGGCGACTGCTCGTTTCATTGTGATGGCGTTGACGTGGACCGTCGATGACTCAGGCGACTGCCAGCGTGGTAGTTCGACCCAGTTACCACTACTTCGCACAGTGCAGCTGCCCGTCGTCCAGTCGATTCTCGGATTGTAACGTCGCAACCAATCACGTCCCAATAAAATGTCGTGCCCATCCAGTGTCGTCGCGAGCATTTCCTGTGTAAACCCGAAGTTTCCCCCGCAGCGAACTTTTACTCTCTCCACCTTCTCCCGTATGGCCAGCGGCGTGCCGTCGACTAAGCGCGCATCAATCTCAGGTAAACATCGGCTAAGTGTCAGTTGAAGTTTTCGTGCGGTTGCGGTATTAACTAAACTGTGGCTAGCTCCTCCGTCGATGAAAATCTTGACTGCTGCTCCCTGTATTTTCCCGTGGATCAGTACTGGGCAATCCGTCGCTGTACCCTCCTTATTCATCCGAGCCCGATCGATGGCGTGAATCGGTACTGTGACTCGGTGAGGGTCGGTGTGGTTGGGCGAGCAGGCAGTCTCGTCAGTAGTTGGCCCAATTTCTACTGACTGCTGGCGTTTCCCTGCCTCTGAGACTCCCTCCCCTGCTCTGCTCCTCGACGCCTCAGCTCTTCTGGACATTCGCTCTTGCGATGGCCCGGCCGGTTGCAAGCAAAGCAGCGCCCTCTAAATGGCGTGGCAGCTGCATTCGTTGCGACGGCATGTACGGTGGCGTGCTCGATCAGTCCCCGAGGACGATGTCCGAAATAGGACCCCGGTCTCGGTCGGCGTAGGATATCGATTTTCTCGGCGAGCGCGAGGATTTCGTTGAAATTCGATAGCCCGCGTAGCATTATCTCGTGCGATATGTCCGGCTTCAGTCCGCCGACGTAACGGTCCACCCGCTCCGCCTCGTGCATGTAGCCGACCTGTTCGCAAAGTGCGAGAAAACCGCTGGTGTAGTCTTGGACCGACCCGAGCTGGCGCCAAGTGCGCAGTTTCTGACGCGCCGAAATAGAAGCCGCGATCGGCTCAAAACGCGCCCGAAGCCCTGCGCACCACGCATCCCACGTGCTATATTGGGCTGTTTCGCAGAACGAACTCCAGGTGACAGCTGGACCCGAGGGCCCTTCCTCGTGCGGCGGTGGCTCGTAGGCGCGTGGCGATATCACGATGACTCGCCACCAGTCCATGGCGGGGCCCCTGAGTAGTGAAACTGCATACCGAATCTTGGCGGCGTCCGACTCGACGTAGTTGGCGTCGAAAAACACGTTCATCGTGAAGACCCACGATTGAACTGTCGGGCCACCGTGTTGGCTTGGGTCGAAGCAGGGCGGGCGTTGCGGCTTGAGTGGCATTGGGGCCATCGTGGCGTTCCCTCCACTTGTCATCGCAAACTCCACGTGCCGACGGGCTTCTCGGGGCTCCCGTGGGCTTGATGCATTCCTGTTCCCTCCCATGCCGGGCATCGGTTGGGCTGCGCCGTCACTGGCTGCGCCTGAGCGCTGTCCCGTGCTGTTGTTTTGCGTTGGTGTGCCGGATGAGATAACAATCGGCTCCTCCGAATGGACAGAAACATTGGTTGGCGCTTGGGAAGTTGTCGGAGCGTTCACCGTTGACTGTTGACGGGCGGAGTCACGTTCCGCCGTGAGCGTCGCGATTTCGAGCGCTGATTCCTCCAGCTGTCGCACGAGACGATCGAGTTGCTCCTGCGTCAACGTGGCGATAGTGAAATCAGCCATGGCAGGGGTGTCGGGCAAGCTCAACGAGAGCCTCAGTCGTGGCCGTGCGTGCTTCCGAGAGAGCACTACGAGCGGCGGTGCTGTATCGCTGAGAGACGTCTACCCCCCCCAAAAATTGAGATAGTGGGAAGCGAAGGTGTGGATGCGGTCCGAGATGAGATCGTAGGCTCTGATACCAAGTGTTACGAGTGCAATTGAGTGAGCGAACGAGAATTGCACTATCGAAGCAGGAGTACAAAATGAGCGAAGGCATGAGCGAAGGATTATATAGCGAAGCAATAGTGGTAACGGTAATGGACTGTGGTTGTCGCGCGACGAGCCTGGGACTGAGGTTGGGAAAGTGTCGAAGCGTAGGCCCGGAGCGCGGGTTACCAGCCGAGCCGTGAGGTCGGGATGCGATGTGCGAAAAGGGCGGGATGATGAATGATGCGATGGTCGCGAGTGGTAACGGTGCTGACTGAGGTGCTACAGTGATGTACGCGTTGAGCAGGGACGCGAAGTAAGGAAAAGGGAATTTCCTTACAGCACTCTTCCTTTCACAACATAATTTCTGTACGGTTACCTGAACTAAGAATCGTAAACCCAAAGCCCTGAACACTTCGTACCTCAAATACCTCGAGTCGCAAGTTGCCACCAGCATAAGTGTAGGAACCTCACAGATCCTCCTCGTGGGTATGCGGTTCAGAAAATCTCGCGTTGTAGATCCGCAGCTGGCAGATTAGGACGGTAGTTAAACTTCTGACGCACTCTTTGGAAATCCAAGTGAGCGGTTAGCGGGATTCGTGCCAGGTGGTCGCTATCCACATGAGCGCGCTATAACGTTTCGCCTCGCCGAGGGCGCGCGGTCCCAGTAGTTGGGGAACATGGCGTGGCGCGGGGGGCGAGGGGGACGCGGAGGCCGCGGAGGGTTCGGAGGGAGAGGCGGCGGGGCTGGTGCAGTGGCACGGGACGATGAGGGGTCGATCGTGTTTGCGGGTCGCGACGAAGGGCCCCCGCCATTGTTTCCGGTGCGCACGGGTTGATTTCCCGTCCACGTGCGCTCGTCGTTTGCTACTGCGACGGCCTCGCAGCGCGTGGTCGTCCTGACGAACTTTCTCTCTGCCGTCGCGCTGCGTCCCGCGACGTTAACCCTTATCTCTCCACGCCCGATCCCCTCTTTTCTCCCCCTGATGCTGCTCTCCTCTTTCCTCTGCCCGCCAGCCTGTGGAAATGCTGCCCGAGCTGCCCGAAATCGCTCCCAAGGACGAGGCGATGCTGCAGCGGCGGCGGCGCATGGCGTCGTTCTGGCGCTACTCCGCCTACTACGTCGACCGCCCTCCGCCCGACAGTAAGGGGCACTCGGGAGGTGGGGGTTAGGTGGCAGAAGAGAGAGGGGGAAGAGTGTGGGGAGGGGAAAGGAAGGCGGAAGGGGAGAAGGAGGGGTGGGACGGGTGGGACGGCAGCGCGGGGGCAAGGAAGCGGGATAGGATGTGGTAGGTGGGTGAGCAGGAGAGAGGAAGAGCATGTGCAAATGCAGCACAAGTCAGGGCCCCCTTCACATGGTTGTCCGCCATCCCTCAGCTCCCCATTCCGCCCTTTCACCTATACCACCTGTCTACCCAACCCCTTCTTTTCCCAACTATTCTCCTCTCCCCGTCTACCCCTTCTTCCTCTCCTCCCTTCCCGGTCGCCCCTCTCGTCCTCAACTTCCTGCCAAGTGCGGTGCAGAGGGAGTGGCGGCGGACATAGCAGCGTACACGAAGCGCCACAGCGGCTCTTCCGGCGCCACCGCCTCTTCGTCCTCTGCGCCCCGTGCTTCTCTCACCGACGTCATGGACCTCTCCATCGCTCACTACCCCGCTGAACTCCTCTCTGCTGGTGCGCTCTGGCGTGATGGCATGGGATGGCATGGGTGTGACGTGATGCTATGTGGTGTGGTTGATGGGGCGATGCTCCTTCCCATGCCATGGCAAGGGTAAGCTAGTGTTGGGTGGGTGTGCCATCACACCATGCATTTGCTGCAACCACAGCCAAGCAAATGCCATCCCCACTGTGACCAATCCTGCTCCAGTTTGCATGCTTACATTCTTTCTCTCTCGGGACCTACTGTGCTGATGCTATCACCATCATCTGTGGCTTTGCTGTGTGGGGGTACATGCAGGAGGCAAGAAGAAAGTTAGGAAGAAGAGCAGCAACGCATGGGTGGTCGGCAAGGGGTCAGCTGCCAATGGTCAGTCGCCTCCTTGTGTTCTCTCTCTCCTTGTTTCTTCCTCCCTTTTTCTCCCTCGCTCCCCTCCTCTTCTCGTCTTTTGCGTATTACACCCACACCAGCTTCATTCCTTCTTACACTGTGCCTAACCTTGCCGCAATTGTCCTCTCTCACCTTTGTTTCGCTGCTGTGTGTCCCTGTGCCTTTCCCGTCTCCCCTTCCTGCATGCATGCAGACCTAAACCGTCTGGACCAGCTTGCAACACTGGAGCAGAAGCTAGACAAGAACGCAGCGGTGAGACCCTTTTTTTCCCGGCCGTCATGGCCTATGCAGTCGTGTAAAGACGAGGGAATTGCAGTGGTGCAGTGCAGTGATGCATGCTGCATGCTGTGCAGTGTGTGGCTGTACATGACAGCGTGCTAACAGCGTGCTATTACGTGTGGGATGGCAGGACCGGGAAGGCAAGGACGAAGAGAAGAAGGAGGGGGAGGACAATGAGGAGGTGGAGGAGGAAGAAGAGGAAGAGGAGATAGGGGAGGATGACTACGCTCAAGTATGGCAGCCCTCCACACCCCACATTTATGCCGCTCGCTCACTTGCCTGCTTGCTCTGTGCCCCCCCGCCCCCCCCCCCCCCAGTTTACGTTTCCCTAGCTTTCTGGCACTGCCTCACCGACCTTACCGTTCTTCCCTCCACGCCGTTGTTCTCTTTCCTAATGTGCTTTCAGAACTTTGGGTTTGATGATGACGATGAGTACCTGGATGAAGACGATGGTGCTGATGGTACGTGCTTGCTGCCTTTAGCACTGCCACTCCATGTCCCTGCACCACTGCCATGTGCATGCTGCTCCTTCACAGCCTATCCCATCGTTGTTTTTCTCACCAGTCACTCTCATTCCCAACCCCCTGGATTCTTACTTGTGCATCCTCTTCCCCCTTTCCCTTTCCCCTCGCCCCTGCACCCCCTGTGTCCACCTATTGGTCTTTCCAGAGGGCCCTGTGTTCTAAGCGTTGGCAGGGAAGCACCAATGCAGAGGCTGGGACGCTCCTGGGTCAGGAGCAGGTGTAGGTGCTGACTTTACCACAATTATTACACTTGAGCTTTGGAAGGATCTGAATCAACACATGTAGGCCGCTGACAAATGGGGCCCTGTGATAGGACTAGCAGTGAATAAGCTGGTAGCTTAGGGGATGAGTAACTAGCTCTGTGTGAAATGAAACAACTGGACAATCCTGCATCAAGTTATACAGCATTGAACAGGTTCCTTATGGTCTTGTTAAGAAAGGAGACGCCTCAGTCAGATGTGAGCTTCAAGGGATGCAAGAATCCTTGATTCTCTACCTAGTACAAGCCATGTTCAAATCAGGTCAAGCAAACATTGCATCTATGGCTGCTCTGAGCAAACCTGCAACGCTCATGAAGGGGCGGACTTACAAATTGAAAGTCCATGGAGCGATTAGGGTGGTTAGGGGCGGAAGGAGAGAGCGGGAGGGAGAAGAGACATAAGGACTGGCAGGTGAAGGGGCTCGAGAGGAGGGCTAACTGCGTGCCTCAGATGGGCGCATGTTGGATTTGGGAGAAGCGTGAGTGGCGGCGAGCACCATGGCCATACGTCTGGCAAGGAGCCCGCCTGCCAAACCTGCGCTTGAGCGCCAGTTAGTCGCGGATCGCGATTCGAGTCGCGAGAATCAGTGGAAGGTGAGAGCCGGTGCGTCCTATGCGACACATGGGAAGGATCGTGGCAGATATGCGACGAGGAGAGCGGTAGGCGGAGCCGCGCGGGGAGATGCGCGATAGACGTGGAAAGGAGGAAGACAGATGGGCGCAGAGTCAATGTCTGGCTTTCTTAGGCGCAGGGGCGTCCTCATCATCATCGTCATCGTCCTCGTCATCATCACCGTCGTCGTCACCGTCACCGTCGTCGTCGTCGTCGTCGTCGTCACCAGCATCAACTTCGTCATCGTCATCCCCCTCGTCGCCATCGTCGTCCCCTTCATCCCCTTGCTCCTCGTCGCCATCCTCCCCGTCCCCATCGCCATCGCCGTTCTCTTCGTCCCCTTCCTCCTCCACATCCTCATCGCCGTCCTCTTCGTCCCCTTCCCCTTCATGCCCGTCTCCTTCCTCCTCCCCGCCCTCCTCCCCGCCATCCCCGTCCGCATCATCCTCACCGCCATCATCCCCCTTGTTGTCATCACCGTCGTCGTCCCCTGCCTCCTCGTCGTCGCCATCGCCGTCGCCATCGTCGTCGTCGTCGCCATCGTCGCCATCGTCGTCATCGTCGTCGTCGTCATCGTCGCCTTCTTCGTCCTCGTCGCCAGCGCGAGGACAAGGCGCGTCGGAGGCCTTGCCGTTGGCGGCGGTGGGAATGCGCGGAGCCAGCGGGTCGAGACCAGGGAGGTTCAGTTCTGATAGCTTCTCCCCACCCTTGTCTTGATGGTTGCTCTGCAGCGACAAGGGCGAAGCGCGCAGGAGAAGGGATCAGATATGGTACTGGCGATACGCGGCACCTCGGAAAGGCATTCAAGACGATACACGGGATGGAATTTGCGCTGACAGATGCGACCGGCGACAATATGATCAGATTGCGGGACCAGGCTCACCGATTTCGTCGACGCTTCCGCAAGAAACTCGGCGAGGGCCTCGTCTGGGAGGCCACACGGCACGTCAGAAGGAAAAAGCTGACCAGGGAGGAAAGCGAACTTGGACCATGGCTGCCTAAACCTCCCCCCCTGCAGCTCCGCTGCTGCGATTGGTCCTCTGCACATATTCACAGGCGTGCGCACCGCGGCACAGATGGCTGAGAACTGAGAAAAAACGGACGAAGCGCGTGACTACACGTCTGAAGGTGGTAGCTTGAAGGGTGCAAGAGTTGATTAGGGACTTCCTGCTGCTGGGCCTAGGGCAGAGGTAGGGGGAGCAGGGGGGGGACGGGAGGGAGTGCGGGGAGAGAAGAGCGGGAGAGGTTTGGGTAGAGGGGGACTGGTGCTCGAGGAAATAAAGGGGAGGGGCGCGATGTGAGAAGGGGGGCTTGGGATATTGTCGGAGGCGAATAGGCGCAAGGAAACCGCTTGCATGATGCGCAGAGGGGTTGCGGAATGAGGGGGAAATAGGTGGGGCACTCTGCGGAAAGGTGGAGAAATTGGGAATGTGGCGGAGTTCCCGTGGGCTTGGGAATGTGTGCTGCTTGGTAGCTTGATTGATTGAGGAAGCAGACGAACTCGCGACGCGGTGAATGAGTTTCCGGGGTGACATTTTCGCGTGGGTTGGGGGAGGGGGAGGAAGCGAAGGGGGGAAAGAACGCACAGCTGAAGAACGACGGGTAACGGGGGGCGCGGAGAACGAAGTGTCTTGGAGGAACTCCGCACACCGTGCTTGGTTTGCGATTGCAATCAGGGACGGTTGGAGATTCGGAGGGGCCAACCCCAGAAGAGTTGAAATTTCCAGAACCGGGTAAACATTGCCAAACGGAGAGGTAAAACATTTACTTACGTTTTGAGGCTGATCGGTTTATTTTATTTCCTCTTGTCTCTGTGCGATGCAAAAAAAAAAAAAAAAAAAATCAATTCCAGACCGTCCAGTAAAAATGCACAGCTGTGGACTCTCGAGCCGCATGAAGCTCAAATGCCGCATGGCGATCGGTGCCTATCGAGGCTGATCGAAAGGCACGTCAGTAACCGAGACGCGCTACACGTAGACTCGGAGGGCTGCCGAACTTCACAGTTCTGGTTCTGAGAAGTCTGACGTGGTTCATTATTCGATGTGGAACCTTGTTCAGGCTGATCTGCTCAAACCTGCTGTGCCAATTATCGTGTTATGTCCAGGTGGGATGATCCAAAACCAAAATTTATCAAAGTGTGAACACTCAATAACCCCATTATAACAATAAAGTGGCATACTTTATTTATTGTACCAACATGCCATCGTTATCTTCAGCAGTGTCTGAATGTTAGTACATTTCACTGGACATGAGTGTCAGTGAGACTTCTTCTTGATATGGTAGGTTGTGAAAAAAGGCCATGATGGGAGAGAAACGAGTGCTTTTCACAACTTTTTTTCCATGGTGTGCACCATTGGGCGCCATTGTCCAATGATTTTGCCTGCACCACCAATATGTTGCCTTGCTATGCTACTCAACAAGTGAGGCAAACCCGGTAATCTGTCATCCAGTCGGTCAGCATCCATGGCATGCGGTACGGTACGTGCGACAACAATACAGTGAAACTTTCATGGACATTTTTGGATATGAATATAGAGCAAAGTTGGGCATGCCACGGCAATAGTAAAGACAGCCCCGTCCTCAATAGCCACAGGCCCAGGTGCCAGTTTTATAGGGTTTGCGTTCTGTATGGGTGCTGCTTACGCTACCAAGTGTTGCCACATGTACGCTCACAACACCAACATACAGTACAACAAACCCACACATCAAGACTGCCTTTTGTTCAATCATCACACCTATGCACACCCGTAAAAGCATGCGCCTTGTACGTTTAATCAAACTGTCAAGGATGCACTGTTGTCAGACGGCTTCAAGCCAAGTATGAGAGAAGCACACCGGGGGGCCCTGCAGGTGAATAAAAGAAAATAACCAGTAAAAACATGCACCGAGAACACCATTTCACGCCATATACACACAGCCAGCCCCTGAATGGGCATCACTTTTAAAATGTAACACTTCCAACTTGCTCAGTCCAGCCACATCACAAAAACGAACGTGTACCTAGATTCCACTCACCATTCCTCGGGCGTTTGGTACATGGAAGCAGCGGAACCGAAGCAGGAGTGCAGCATGGCGGTGTTGATGACTCCAGGATTGAGAGCCACAGACACACAACCAGCAGGCAGCTCTAGTGCCAACGACTTGCTCAGACCTTCCACCGCCCACTTGGATGCGCAGTACGGACCCACCTGATGCAGGGAGGAGGAGAGACATAGTGCTGAGGACAGGAGGACCCGGAAACAATTTCAAGCCAACAGCATATGCTCACTCTCTCATAGCCCATGACAACAAACAATGGGGACCCTCTTGGTAAGGCAAAGAGAAGTCCAGGAGCCTTGGTAAGGGAGCTATCAAACCAGCATACATGGTCACTGGCATAAGTGAACTTGGTGATGCAATAGAGATCCTGACAAACAGCAGTAGAATCGATTCCATTGCTCCTCAACAGGCACAGCGGCTCACCTCCGCAGCGACAGAGCGGCCCCATCCAGATGAGAAGTTGACAAACACCCCGTGGCGCCTCTCCACAATGGCGGGGGCGAAGTGGCGGATGACGTTGACGGTGCCCTTGATGTTCACGTCCAGCACCCGATCCACCTCCTCGCATGGCACCTCCCACAACCTCTTGTTCGCGTTGATCAGCCCTGCACAATTCACTGCAGTACACATCGAAACACGTGAGTGAGTGATGTGGACATGGGGAGGAAATGGAGGAGAAGGGAGGACAGGATGTGGGAGCATTCACCCAAGAGTTTGAAACAAGAGGTACTTAAAGGCGAAAAGGCAAAGAGATAGGGAAAGACGGGTTAAGGGACGCTGACCTACTATATCGGGTACTCCCATAGTTGAGATGACATTTTCAGCAAAGGCCTTGACTTGACCATCTGATCCCTGCACCCACACGAGGACACTGAAACCATCACTTCTTGCAATTAATGAGACTTCAGGACCAACGAAATTGTGGCAAAACTTAAACGTTGCTCAGCTTAAAGCCGGCGGCCGAAGTTGTTCATGCTTTTAAAAGTTGACCAGAGGGAGTTTTTCTGGTGTAGGCTTTGGCAAGAGTTCGCAATTTCGTCTAGGTTCGTTTTTTTCGCGAAACCCAGCCAACCCTCGGTTTCCCCCCTGGTGAGTGAATCTGTCTTCGAAAGTCCCAAATTGCAGGTGCGTGACTTTCAAAAGCTTGGACACTCAACTTAGTCAAGTTTTAAAAACTTGACCCTCGCGGTCCGCAATTTGGGACGCGGGCTTTAAAGACACATGCCACTCCAAATGCACCACTTAGTTGAGCCATAGGCCAGCACAACACTCACCACGTCTACCGCAACCATAAGGTGCTGGGCAGGAGAAGCAGCAGCAGCAGCAGTAGTAGCAGGCACGCGAGTGTCATCCAGCAATCGCTGCACCACTTCCACCTGCTTCACATCCCTCCCACACCCCGCCACCCTGTGGCCGCGCTTTGCCAGCTCCACCACCAACGCGCGGCCCAGACCCTTGGTGGCCCCGGTCACCACCACCACCTGAGGCGACGACAGGAGAGATGTATGGGGAAAGATCCAACGGAGACATGGGATTCAAGGTGCCAGCCTGCACCCGTCCTAGTCACCTCCACCACCATCGCCCAACCAGATTCTTGCCGGCTCAGCTCCCCACCAAAAGTAGCTGGAAGGAGGGCCAATAGGAAGAAACAAGCATGCTTGATTTGAATGTGAATGAGCGTTGGTGGAAAACCTAGGTCTTTTGCAAGCACATGTTCCATGAACAATGGCAGGTGGCTCTGCCAACGAATGCGCAAGAATCTCTGTTCACTGCCTTGCTTCCTGCCACCTCGAGACCCCCGTTTCTATCACGTACAGAAGTTCGAGAGATGAAGAGCATGTTCCCACTCACCTTGGACTGGCTCGCCGCAGAGCCGCCTCCATCCGCCATATTGCCTGCCTTGCTACGAGAAAAGAAAGCCCTCGCTACTCCCCGTGCGGGAGCCTTCACCGCAGCTGGATGCGAGCTCCGCTGAACCGGGAACGACCCTCTCTTCGTGACCAACGGCTGTTGCACGAAAGTTGACGCGAACAAGCGCGAATCGCAAGCACCGCCACGTGGCTCCAGGCAGGGAGACGACTGGTGCCGCTGGTGCCCGGCAATGGGCACAAACGCTCGAAGATCCCCGAGACTGGAAGGAGGCCGGTGGAGTCGAGAGAGAGGCGAGCAGAGAAGCATCTCGAGGAACGGCGTTCTTCTTCGCACCTGCTGACGGGAAGCGCGACGATGGTTCCGCCTGCGTGCGACGCTCCAACGGGTAACTGGCAGACCCTATGCCGGTAGGTTTATGTACCTGCTCAACTAGTGACAGAAATTGACAGCGAATCTACTCGCCCCCGAAAGAAGACTGAAGAACCCGCAACCGAGATGTGGTGCATCAGTGGCAAACGTTTGCTGAAGTGAAGATTGAACTTCGAGAGAGGTTCTACACGGTATTTTACGGTGGTTCAACACCGTGGCGTGACGTTGAAAAACGGGAAAATAACTGAGTGGACTCATAATGCAACAAACCTAAGTGGACTCATATCGGGAAACTTTATTTCGATCCTGCTCGATACAGTCACATCGGCATGCCTTCGGGAATGGAACAGTCACTCTCTTCACAGCCTCCTGCCCCAACAGCATGCCCTCGGGCTCATCCCCGCCTGAACCTTGAGAAAAGCGCGGGAGCGTAAGAGGGACGCTCCCCAGCTTGCGCGCCAAAAATCTGAGCCGAACCTAAATCCGTACCTAGCTCCCAAGCCCCTCGAGACTCTCAAACCTGAAACGAAACCCAAACTTCCAATTTCTCGCACTGCTGCCGAGCCTGCCCAGCCTACGTAGACCTGACCTCGCACCTCTGACCTCACCACCACCAAGGCTCGCAGTCGCAAAATCCAAAGCATAAAAGTGAGAGAAGCGAGGCTGAAATTCGTTGGGAGAAAACGAAAGTCAAGGTTTCGATGTTGCAAATGCCAAGGACCTATCAGCCTCCTCACGATTTTCTTTACCATCTTCCGCGCTGCATCTCGCTATGAAGGAGAAGATACTACTTCGACGTTTTCATTTTCTTTTCATTTTTATCTGCCTCGACTACCGCATCTGAGTGTATCGTCGAGCGCCCCGCACCCATGGCTACGACCGTGGCTGCGTCGAGCTCGCGTTTCCCGTGCTCGCCGCCGCCACCGCAGCAGCAGCAGCAACAGCAGGCGGCGAGGGGCCTAGCAGCTGAATGGGTGGCGGAGTTCTTTAGCGTTTCTCACGGCATATCGCCCTGGCTCTTCCGAGGTAAATGCATTTACTGGTACCGTCCTTCGAGTTTTGATGCGCTTGCACAGTCGCACATGCCCCACCCCTTCAAGATATCTTAACAATATAAGGGTACCGTGGAGGAGTTTTTGTCGGTTCGCATGCTACTAGTCTCTTCGTTTTGCTGGACCAGGCGAGGACGGGAGGAGCGGGATGTGCTTGGCCTGGCTAAGAGAGGCTCGCTCGTTAATCGACGCGACAGCGATTGCATCTGTTGTTGCGTGTCGCTGTGATTGGCAGCGATGCGGCAAGGAGGCAAGGCAGCGAAGTCGAACAACGACTGAGGCGCAATAGCCATGTTTTAGTGAGCGCGTTCATGCTCCTCTCGTATTCCTCCTGCGGTCTGCCTTTCACTTCCTTAGCCCACCCTACCGCATTCGGTCCACGTCCCCCTCCCGCCTCCCCCCGGTCCGCCTCCCCCCGGCCCGCTCCCCGCTCCCCAGAAATCCTTCCCCGCCCCCTGCGGGGCGACAGCGCGCTGGTGCTGCGGGACGTCCTTCCCATGCTGCGCGACGCGCTTGAAGACCGCGAGCTCCCCCCCGGGCTGCTCTCATCCATCCGCGTGCTCGCGCGGAAGAGGGACCTCGCGGAGAGGCGGAGGGGGAAGACGGAAGGGCGGGGAGCGGAGGGCGATGGGGAGGAAGGGGTTCCGCGATGGGTGCGGATAGTGGTCGAGTGCTGCACTGCGGTAAGATGGGATGGAGTGCGATGGGATGGGATGTGTGAACAGTTCTAATCCTTATTGATCCACTGGCATTTTTTCCCTCGCTTTTCTCCATCATCTCTCTCCCATCCCCCCCCACCCCCCCCTTCCTTCACTCCCCTCCCCATCCCGCTCCATCACCCTCTCTCCCTTGATGTTCCCGCTCGTTCACTTTTGTCAGTTTATACCTTCGCAATGCACCGCATCACTGTAACCTCGTTACACTCCGTTCTTCCCTTCCCCTACTTCCACTCCACTCCAACCCCCCTCTTTTTCATGCGCGCTCTCTGCAATGCGCCTCTCCTTCCGCCCTCCTCCCCCTCCCAGTCCTTCCTGTCGTCCCTCCCCAAGCCCCCACCAGGTGACACCGGAACCCCAACCCGGACCACCAGGAAAGCAGCAGCGGCAGCCGCAGCAGCCTCAGCAGCAGGGAGAGAGGCGGTAGCTGCTGCAGTGGAGGAATTCGGGGAGAGCGTGTGGACGGCGAGAGAAGAGAACAGTGAAGGCGCAGCAGCAGCAGATGGGCGTGCGGAGGAGGACGGAGAAGGGGAAGGGGAGGAGGCGAGGAAGGAGGAGGAGCAGGAAGAGGAGGTGCTGTATCGGGAAATCGGGCGCAGGAAGGCATCTATTAGGGCGATGCATCAGGTGGGATGGGTGGGAGGTCACGTTTTGCTTGGTTGTTAGCTCTTCACCATGTGCCGCTTGCTGTCAATCAGTTGCCGTAACCTGCCTCCTCCACCTTCCTCCCTCCACCTGCTTCCGTTCCCCCGCCTCCTTCCCCGAACCCCCTTCAGCCTGCCTCCTTCCCCCTTCCTGTTTTTACTGCAGCGCTCTGACTGACTGCAACAGACACTTGCTGTCTTCCCAATGCTAACTGGGTTGCCCTCTCACGTCAACTTCCACTCCCTCCTCGCCCCCGCTCCACCTTCCCCCCTTCGTCTCGCCGCACTACCAACCCCCTCTTCTTGTGCAGGAGGCGGACGGCAGTGTGGCGGGCGTGGCAAAGCGGTGCAGGAAGCGCTTCCCCCAGGAGGACGTGTGGGCGCACCTGCAGGAGCTCGTGGACTGGGCTGCTGCTGCGCTGCCTCCCCCCGTGCTGCCCCAGGTGAGTTTCTTTTGAGAACTCTCAAAGGTCACCCCAATATATAGCTGTTGGGCTGGGCTGCTGCTGCGCTGCTGCCTCCGCCCGTGCTGCCCCTGGTGAGTGTTGAGTCGACTCAGGCGTGTTGGACGTTAACCTTCAGGACAGTTACTGACCGTGGCGATTGTTTTACTGAGCGGGACAGTTTCTGCTGAGCTTGTGAACTGATAGTTGCATGCACACATGGACAAGTGGACCTCCGTGGGGCCTTGCTTCCCCCTCTCATGTTGCTGCCTCTGGTGAGTGAGTGAAACTGTGAAACCCGTGGCTGCGTGACGTAAGGTGCCATGCAGTAAATTGAAGGTCTTTCTTATTGTTTGCCCATGGGCTGTCGACGCAACCTTTCAGTGCCCAGCCCACCTTCTCGACCATCGCTCACGCTCATCTCTTTCTTTGCCCTGTCTTTTCCTCTCCGCCCATCCAGCAACTGCGTCACTGGAAGATTCGACCCAACTCTTCTGCACCCCAGCCCACGCCTCCCCATCATGCTGCTACTGCTGCTGCTGCTGCTGATTCTCCTGCCGACCGTGCTGCTCGCCCTGCTCCTGCCCCTGCTGCTGGTGCTGGTGCTGCTGATGCTGGTGCTGCTGCTGTTGATGCTGCTGCTCCTCGTTTGGGAGAAGGTGTGGGCGGCAGGCGGAGCAGGAAGAAGCAGAAGGTGACTAGGCCCATGCGGGAGGTCAGTCTGAGCGAGGAGGGGGATGAAGCGAAGCAAGCCAGTGAAGGGAAGGCGGGGAGTGAGGGGGGAGCGGATGGCAGGAAGGGGCTGAAAGGGCTTGCAATGCCAAGGGCGGAGGAAGGGGCAGGGGAGGACGAGGTGGATGGTGGTATGGCGCAGGGGGGCAAGCACAGGGCTGAGCAGGAGGAGGAGCAGGAGGAGATGGAGAGGAATCAGAGACGCGGAAGGAAGGGTGGGGATGGTGCTGCTTTCAATCGCACTGCTGTCAATGGTACTGCTGCTGATGCTGCTGGCGGTGGCGCTGATGCTGGAGGTGCTGCTGTCGGGGAGAAGCAACCAGGGCATAAGCAGGTGAGCGGAGCAGGGAGCAGGGGTGACAGTGGGGCAAGTGCGTTCCACTCCTTCCTAACTTGTTGCTCCCAGTTTAGTCATGGTAGTGCTGCTTTTGCTTCTCTTCTGCTGCTGCTGCTGCTGCCTCTAATGCTGCTGCTTGGTGATCATACCGCTGATGCTGCTGGTTGGAACAAAGGTGAGTAGAGCAGCAGCAAGCAGGGATAAAAGTCCACTTCTGACTTTCCTGCCCGTTTTCGTCCCACGCACTGCCTTTCCCTATTGTCAACATGCTCGAAACCCCTCCTGTTCTCCTGCTGCTTCGTGTAAGGCGCCTAAAAAGCTCGTCTGTGTCCCTTCGCTCACTGCCTTTCCCCTGCAGCATTCCAAGGGGAGGAAGCTTCCCCTTGTCTTCCTGCGAACGCGGCAAGCTACTGTGGATGCGTATGCTGGCGGGGCAGGGGGAGGCGGGGGAGAGGCAGCAGCGGAGATGGATGGGGCGCAGAAGAAAAGGCGAACTCAAGGAGCAGCAGGCGCAGGAGGAGGTGCAGGAGGAGGTGCAGGAGGAGGCGCAGGAGGAGGTGCAGGAGGAGGTGCAGGAGGAGGCGCAGGAGGAGGTGCAGGAGGAGGCGCAGGAGGAGGTGCAGGAGGAGGTGCAGGAGGAGGTGCAGGAGGAGGTGCAGGAGCAGCAGTAGTAGGAGAAGCAGGGGCAGCTGAGGCAGCAGCGGGAGAAACACGTGCTAAGGAGACGCAAGCAGAGGCAGAGGCAGGAGGAGAGGGTTTGGGGCGAGAGGGCAAGGAAGGAGGTGAGCGGGGGAAGAGGAGCAGTGGGAGAGATCACAAGGGGAAGGTTCCATGGGCTGGGCGGCGACATGTGAGACGCGTGGAGTATGAGGAGGTGGAGGAGGAGGATGAAGAAAGGGAGGCGGATGAAGGGAGGGAGGAAGGGGAGGAGGGGGAGAAAGGGGAGGGAGGGGATGGGAGGGACGGAGGAGGTGAAGGGAGAGGGGCAGTTGGAGGGGTAGAGGGGAGTCGGGGGAAGGGGGGTGGGAAGGATATGGGAGTGGAGAGAAACGGCGGAGTGAGAGAGAAAATTGAACGTGAGAATGGGGTTAGGAAGGGGACGGACAAGAGGGAAGGGAGAGAGGAAAGGGGGGGCATGGAGGGCAGGGGAGGCAGGGAGCAGCGAGAGGGGAGGCAGGGGGGAGAGAAGACAGGGGATAGGGAGAAGCAAGTTGATGGTGATATGGAGGAGGAGGAACAGGAGGAGGAGGAGCAGGATGGGCAGGAGGAGCAGGAGGGGCAGGAGAAGGAGGAGCGCGTGCTGTTCCGGTTCCTTCAAGTGAGGAAGGAGGATAGACAGGCGGAAGGCAATGGGCGTGCTCCGGACATGCAAGGAGCAGCAGCCGAGAGGCAGACCCCTCCCAAGGCAAAGGCTGGGGGGAAGGCTGAGGGGAAGGATAAAGCGCAAGGTCGTGCAGGGATTGGGGCAGAGGCACAGGAAGAGGCACGAGTTGCGGCAGGGGCGGAGGGAGAGCAAGTAGCAGAGAAAGCGAGAGGAGCAGGAGCTGATGCACGGTTGAATGGAGGTGACGCAGGGGCGGGGTTGGGGGCCATGGCAAGGCGTGGGGAGAGCGGTAATGGCATGGGAGCAGCAGCACCCCCAGGTACACCTGTGGGCATGGGCATGCGGACGGGTATGGGCATGGGCATGGGCATGGGTACCCCCATCGGCAGTGGCAGGAAGCGGTGTGTGGTGCTGGTGTGTTCAGTTTGCGGGCATGGACCAGGGGGCAAAGGCAGGGCCACAGGGGGGCATGCAGGGCCGTTGTTCCCGTGCGAGGGGTGTGGAGAGATGTTTCATTTCGATTGCGCGGGCATGCTGTTTCAAAACGTGCTGGAGGTGAGTGCTTGGACGTGTAAGGGGTGCTTGGAGGAGGAGGAGAGGGAGAGAGAGAGGGAGCTGGAGAGTGTGCGGAGTGAGCGGAAGAAGAGGATGAGCCTGTCTCCTCTAGCGGCGAGGCTGCAGAGGAAGCTGCAGCAGCAGGAGGAGGGGCAGGGGCAGGGGCAGGGGCAGGGGCAGGGGGGTTGGGAGGGGGAGGGGGAGGCGCAGGGGCAGGGGGAGGGGCTGGTGGAGACGCAAGGAGCGGAGCAGGGAGGGGAGGGCAAGAAGCAGAGGGGGGTAGAAGAATGGGGAAAGAGGGAAGCGGATGGGGATTTGGAAGGCGGGAATGGGGGAGAGAGGAGGGGTGGAGGTGGGACGGAAGGGGGAGGAAGTGGGGAGAGGGAGAGGAGGAGTGGAGGAAAGGGGAAGGGGAAAGGGAAGAGCATGCAAGAGGGTTTGGAGGAGCGAGATGGAGTGGCAGAGGTTCGTGTTGTTCTTGACTCCCGAATGGCAGCAGCAGTTGGGGAGGAGGAAGAAGAGCAACGGGAGGAAAGGGGAGAGGCGCGGGGTGCAGGTGGGATATTGAAGGGAGGGAAGGCAGCAGGACGCAAGGAAAAGAGCAAGGAGAGCGGGAGAGCTGATGGGAGGGCGGAAGGGAGGGCGGAAGGGAGGGGGGAAGGGATGGCTCAGGGGGAAGGCGGGAGGGGTGTTGAAGGCGCTGATGCGAGTGTGAGTGGCTTGGAAGCTGCCTTAGGCAAGAGGAAGAAGGCACAGGGGCTTCAGAATGGGCAGAAGCAGGGGCAGGGCGGGGAAGGGGGCCAGGGAGAGGGCGAGGGAGAGGAAGAAACAACAGGTGGTGCGATGAATGGTATTAAGAAATCCCCTTTCAAATCCGTTGCTGGTGACAGGGGTGTTGATGGGGTGCCTGCTGTGAGGGAAGGGAGTAAACGAGTGACTCGCGCATCTGCTGCTGCTGCTGCTGCTGGAGCTGCTGTTACAGCTGACGCTGATGATGCAGGTGGTGCGAGGAGGAAAGGTGCGAGGGCTGGGAGTGGGGAGAGGGGCAGGGGTGTGGGGATGGGAGGGGAGGGAGGTGAGGGTGTGGAGGGTGTGGAGGTGGAGAGGGAGGGAGCAGAGGGGGGAGTGGCTGACCTGTTTGAAATGGAAGATATAACTGAGGCGGAGGAGGTAGAGGAGAAGGAGGATGAGGAAGAGGAAGAGGAAGAGGAAGAGGAAGAGGAACTGCAGATGCGGGAAGAGGAGACTGGGGAGGAGGAGGGTGAGGAGGAGGGCGAGGAGGAGGAACCTTTAACGCAGGAGGAAGAGACTGGGGAGGAGGAGGAAGAGGAGGACGAGGAGGAGAGACGAGCATTGCAAGAGGAAGGGACTGAGGATGATGGTGAAGAGGAGACAGAAGAGGAGGAGCAGGAGGAAGAAGAGGCAACAGAAGAAGAAGAAGCAACAGAGGAAGACGAGGAAGAGGGAGAAGAGGGAAGAGAGGAAGAGCGAGGAGAGATGGAGGAAGGGGAAGTTGGGGGAGAGGAAGAGGAGGAGGAGGCAGACGAATCGGAAGAGGAGGACGAGGAGAGGGAAATGGCAATGGATCGTGGTCGTGGTGTCAACGCAAGGGAGATGAGGATAGGAAAGGGGAGAGGGAGAAGAAGAGCTTGGAGTCGGGCTAGGAAGAGTGAGAATGCGCCTAGGGTTGGAGAGGACAGGGAAGGAGGAAAAGGGGGGCGATTGGGAAAGAAGAGGGTGGAAGGGGTGAAGGGCAGGGAAGCGGTGAGAGGGAGAATGGGAAGGAGAGAGGGATGGAGGGAAGGGGGAGGAGGGAGAAAGGGAGGGAGAGAAGAAGGGAGAGGAGCGAGGGTAGGGGGGAGCAGAGGAGAGGACGTTGGGGGGAAGAGCAAGCAGCAGGAGGGAAAAGGAGACGGGGAGGCGAAGAGAAAGGCATGGAGGTGGGCGAATGAGGATGGTGGGGAAGCAGAAGGACTTGCAGGTGCATTTGGCATGTATGATGATAGAGAGGCAGAGGAGGGGGAGGAAGAGAGGGAGGAGAAGGAAGAAGGGGAGGAGGCTGAGGGGGAGGAGGAGGAAAGAGAAAAGGGGGAGGAAGAGGAGGAGGAAGAAGTGGAAGAGGAGGAAGAGGAGGATGAGGTGGAAGAGGAGGAAGAGGAGGATGAGGTGGAAGAGGTGGAAGAAGAGGAGGAAGAGGATGAGGAGGGGGAGCAGGAGGTGCAGGTACGGAAGGGCTTGGGTGGGCGCAAGGACGGAGACGGGACAACAGGAGGAGCAGATAGAGGTGCTGCGCAGTGGAGAGGTAGGCAGGCGAAGGCTCGTGCTACTGTTAAATCTGGGAGAGGTGGTGCTGCTGGCTCACATGGGAACAGTGCGGCTGCTGCTGCTACTGCAGCTGCTGCTGCTGCTGCTGCTGCTGCTGCTGCTGCTGCTGCTGCTGCTGCTGCTGCTGGAAACGGGAGTGGTCGTACTGCTGGGAAGGATGTGCAAGGGAAGGGTGGGGTCGAGAGGAAGGAGTTGGGACGAGATGGCAGGGAGGCAGGCGGGAGTAGCACGAGTAAGGGACTGCGGGAGATGTGGGAGCAGAGAGCACGGAAGGGAGGGGAGCAGGAGATGGGAGATAATGTGGTGAGGAGGGGTGCAAAGGGTGAGAGGGGTGCTTCTGATCGGTCTGCTCGTGTTGAGCGTGCCGCTACTCCTTTGCAAGGGAGGGGGGGAGAGGAAGGAGAGCAGGAGCAGGGGGGGATGAGGAGCGGAAGCAGTGTGAAAGGCAAGGGGAAAGCACAAGGAAGGGTTGCATTTGATGCGAGGGTTGAGAGAGCGGAGGGGCCTGAGATTGGGGTGAATGGGTGGGCAGGCAGTGCGAGAGGTAAGGTGATGAAAGGGAAGGGGAAATCAGCGAGAAAGGGACAAAGGCAGCAGAGGGAGGAGGTGGAGGGGTGGGGAGAGGATGGGGACGTGCAGAGGGAAAGGAGAGATATTGGTAGGAGGGGAGGGAAGGAGAAGCAAGTTGAGGGGGCAAAAGGGGCAGCGGCGCAGGGAGTGGGGAAGGGGACGGCAGGGGGGATGGCTGGGCAGGTGAGGAAAAAGCTGAGCCGTGAAATGAAAGGGCTCATGCGCAATGGAATTTTGAAAGGGTGGGGTGGTGGTGGTGTGGGGGGAGCAGAGGAGAGGAGGGCGTTAGAGGAGGAGCAGGAGGAGAAGGGGGAGGAGGAGGAGGAAAGGGATCAGGAGGAGGAGAGGGAGGAGAATGATGATGAGGAGGAGGAAGGTGAGGTGCGTGCTGCATCTCCTTCTGAGAGGGTTGTTCAAGGTGCTGGCGGTGCTGCTGGTGGTAGGGTGGGCAGGAGTGGGTTGAAGAGGCGAATAGGAGAGGTGGTGGGGTCGGCAGGGAAGAGGAGTAAGAGGCGAGTGGGCGTTGCTGGTGGTGGGAGGGAGGGAGATGCGGTGCAGCAGGAGGAGGATGGCCATGAGGAGGAGGAAAGGAAGGCATCGGCCAGGTGAGAGGATGCTTTGTTCTTCGCTTGTATCACCAATGGTGACTGGTAGAGGCCCCAGCGTGTCATGCCATGCCAGTTCGTCTCATATCATAGCAGGACGATACGAAGAGGTCACTCTGGATTGCTGCCTCGCCTTGTCATGTTGACGGGTCGCACCGACGAGCCGGATTGGTGGGTCGAGGTATTGCTCATGGCTAATATATTCTTAGGCCTGGTATCTTCTCTTTGCACTCCCTCCCTCCACATGCGTTGCTTTAACGGGTTCAATACAAGCACCCAGTCGTGATGCTTCACTGCTTGTTCCATGCTTATATCCGCTCCCCGTTCTTGCATCTCCCCCATTGCCTGCATCGACTCTTTCCTCATCCCTGCCAGCCATGGGCGAACCCAGAAAACCACCTCTGCTCCTCGTGCATCCGCTGCTGCCTCCGCTGGTACCTCTGCTGCTCGTGCTGCTGCGGCTAATGCTCCTCCTGCTGCTCGCCCTGCCAGAGTTGCACCTCCTTCAGCACCTTTGCCTCATCCCGCTGCTGCTGCTGCGCCTCCCGCTGCTGCTGCTGCTGCTGCGCCTCCGGCTGCTGCTGCTGGTGCTGCCCCTCCGGCTGCCCCAGCTGCTGGCGGACGGCGAACAAAGCGCAAGTGGACAGAAGAAGAGGAAGAATTACTGCTGGTACGCCTGTGCTGTGTTGATGCGCGCGTGCGCACGCACACACACACACACTCACGCACTCGTGCATGTGCGTGCATGTGCGTGCACGCACCCTTTCGACTCAGTATCATGAGGTCTCACCACCGTCACCTTCTCTTCACCCTACATGCATCCGTCTCTCCTTGCTCACTGCTCAACCTCTCCAGTGTCGAGACTCCACCTATGCAACTCTCCTCCCCTGTGTCTGCCTCTTTGTTACGTGTCCGTACATTTGTACCGTTTACTGTCTCCATCTCTCTCCCTCGCTCACCCTCTGTCTCCTGCTCTCTCCTTCGCTCATCCTCTCTCTCCCTCGTTCGCCCTCTCTTTCCGTCGCTCGCCCTCTCTTCCCTCGCTCACCCTCTTTCTTGCGCACTTGCCCGCTTTCTCCTTCCCTCGCCCTCTCTCTCCCTTCTGGCCCCATCAGGAGCTGATGGAGAGGCACAGGGCTGCGGGGGCCAGGTGGAAGCTGATTCTGCAGGACGGCCGGCACCGCTTCCACCCCTCGCGCACGCCAGTGGATCTCAAAGACAAGTGGCGCAATCTGGTCAAGTACAAGTGCTTCTCGCCCTGACCTGATGATACCACAGATCGGACCTGCTGATTCAGTGGTATGCAGCCCAACACACACAACGCAACCTGCTCAAGCACAAGTGCTCCGCGCTCTCACACCCCTCACTCCCCGCACACCCCTCAACTGCCCACTGACTGAAACGGCCCATCACACACACAGCCTGCTCATATACAATTGCCCTTCTTGCTGAAGGAGCGATGATGCAACCCATCTCATGGAACGTAACTTCAAGCACACATGCTCCGTATGCTGACCTACCGTCACGGACCAACCTACCTACCTATAACTTACCTACCTATTCACCTATCTACCTACATACCTATCTACCAACCCACCTACTATCCACCCAGCCACCCATCCACCTACCCACCCACCTACCTACCCACCTCCTGACCTAGCAATCTACTACCCGAGCATTACATCGTACCCGTCTGTGGCTTGTGTTGTACAGGAACGCGTACAAGCCCGACTCCACGCCACTTACAACCATTCATCCTCGCTGCACAACCACCCTGCTGCACCACCCCTCTCGACCGCTCTCCAAAGCGCCACTCAGCAGACCTGCGGAGGCAATCCAGCACAGTCGTGTGCTGACACCCAGCACGCACCAGCCAGCTCTCACCAGCTCGCACAACTTCTCACTGTTCCGTGATTCAGTCCCGCAGCTCAGCTGTTTGGCTGCACCTCACTGCCTCTTCATGCACCATCTTACCGTACCAATTTCTGACTGTTCGTACAATTGATTGTTCTCTACTGTAGTCCGGTCCTTCCTACTATTGTACTTAGCAGCTCACGTTTCTTCTATGTTTTCTCTGCCACTGCACTTGAGGCCTTATGATTCTACTTTCTATAATTCTACATTCCGTAAACTAGGATCCGTACCATATGGGTTTCAATCTGAGTACAGTGCCACTGGTATGCATATTTCAATACCTGCGTTGCTTTTAGTGGCTTTGCTTTGTCTGGCCATCTAGTAATTTTCCTTGGAAACTAATCTAAAATGCACATCCCCATGTGGTTATCCCACCGTCAATCTGGCTCTGTACCTATCTGTCAGACGTCCATCCCATCCAGTCAACAGTATTGCACATACTGCTGTTATAATTGTGGATTTGAAGGCAGAGCTGCCTTTGTCATGTCACAATAAAATAACAAATGGAATTGAAGGGGGAAACTCCAGCTGAAGAAACAATTCCAAGTCTCTTTCTATAGCTTAACATGGCTAGTTAAAGGTAAATGTGTTCTGGTACAAAAAATATTAGTAATCAGACCACCTTGGCCTGACCCGCACCTCGCCGCCTCCGTTTCCTACCCACTTCTTCCTCTGCCACAGCTTCTGGCACTGCCGAAACTCCATTTGCTGCTGGTGCAACTTCAAGTGCTGGCTGTTGGGGCGCAGTGGCAGAAACCACGAATGCAGGCGATGCACCGGTAGGAGATGTGACTGGGAGCAGAGCTCCACCATTATTTGCAGTTGTGCCTCCTGATGCAGCCACTGCTTGCATGAGCGCCTGAACCTGGGCATGAGCTTGTGCTGCTGCCTGTGCTTGGATGTGGGCTGCTGCAGCCGCCATCCCCCACTGCTGCGCCACAGCTGCTGCATCAGCAGCCGCTGCTGCCGCAGAAGCTAACGAGGGATGCTGGACCGCAGGCAGTGCAGAAGGTTGCATGGTGGTAAACATGGGAAGCTGCATTGAGAAGGATGGAAGGCCGAAAGGCAATGTTGCAACCGTGGAAGCTGGAGCAGCAGCAAGTGGCTGTAGTCGGGTTGATTGTAAATGTCGTTGCCTGCGCGTAAGGTAAAGGAATAAACAGACGATGAGCCACAAGGAAAAGTGTGAAGGGAAATTAAGACTAATTTGCCCATGCCAAGAACGTTAAGGAAAATAAGCAATTGCCAGCAGCCAAGCACTCACTTTGGCTTCAGTGGTGCTTGTCGTTGGTTGGCGGGTCCAGCGACTCGAGCAACAGGACCAACAGCGGCAGCAGGCGTGGCAGCATCAGCTGGAGGAGCCGCGGGCGCCTGCGCGTTATTGGGCTGCGTAGCGTCACACCATGACGATCCCACCATCGCCAGCACCGATGCCGCCTCCACAGCAGCGTCCACTTGGCCGTCAGCATCGCCAGCATCAGTGTCGCGGACCTGCGTGGTTTCTGCCGCTGCCGCGTGAGCACCAGCTGCGTTCCGTTTCGCCGCATCTTCCATTTCCTCCTCCACACCGCAGCCGTTACCGCCAGTGCTGCTAAGCGGAGACGGCGATATTTCCGTCCGCGCACGTGCGCCAAGCGCTGGCCGCCCGCGCCGACCCTTGCATGGCGCAGAGACCCGTCGGCGGGGAGCGGGGGAGGCAGCCAGCGCAGCAGAGCCGCCCGCGGAGCAAGAAGGGGACGTTGACGCGGATAACGGAGTGGCAAGCGGCGGAGGTGCCGTGGAAGGGTGCGAGGAAGCGGAGACGCCGTCATTACTCTGAAGCTCCGCTTGCTGCCGTGGATGCTCCGGCGAAGGAGCCAGTCCGGGTAGCTCCTCTGTCCACGCCGCGTCCCCGCCCACTCGTTGCCTCTCAACTGTAACGGCGGCCAGTTCACCGCCTTCTCGCCGCGCATCAGCCGTGGTTGTCTTGAGCTCGTTTTGGCGAAGCCACCACGGTTTTGTGCCCACATCTGCGGTTCCGTCTTGTCCACATACGCCGGACGCCGGCTTAACGACAGAAGAATCAAAACTGTCCCGTCGCCGCTTCTTCCCCGCGAGCTCATTAACGGTCTTTGTGCCACTCGCGCTAACATCTAGTGGCTCCGCGCCCTCCCGCACCGTTCCTTCCACGGCTATCATATTCAGATCGAAGCCCTCGCGTTGTTGCTCGTCAATGCGACACTGCGCTTGTGCTTCTTCCCCACCCTCAACACGAAAATTGCCTTCCATGGCTTGCGCCCGTTCTACCGTCGCGTCGTCCGCGTCGTCACCCGAGGCTTCGTCAGCGGAATTAGGAGCCAGTGCTGTTTGCGGCGGGGCATTGACGTTGTCGGCCGCTTTGGCTCCAGAAGCAGGGAGGGAGGGCTGCTCCGCTGAGTTCGTGGCTTCCTCGATGCGTCGAATGCGGGAATGCAGGGATTCGATGTAGTCATACACCTCCGCTAAAAATGCTGCCGTGTTGGTCCGCCCCTGGTGCGGAACGAGTCGTTTAAGTGCGTCAATGCTGAAATCAGGAACAAGGGGGAAAGAGGAACGTGAATATCGCGACGGAAGGCATAAAACCGGAAGCTTTCGTCTAATGGACAAGAGCGCACCTGTCAGATATCCGGGCCCGACGTCTTTGTTCCGCTTCCATGTGCTTAGCTGCGCAGATACCGCTCCTGGATCCTAAACTGCCTCGTTGGTTTGCGGAACCAACTTGTTGCTGACCAGGTAGCGTTGGAACTACCCCGGAAGGCGTGGTCGCAAAGGCCATAGCCTGTGGAGCGAAGCAAGGGGAAAGCGATACGCCGAAAGGGAAGTTCGCCGCCATTGGATTGGGTAAGTGTCCGTTTAGGTGCTGCATCCTGCTGGTGTGGAATAGATTAGCCTGTAAAGATCTAGATCAGTGACTGCTGGGCAATTTGGTTGTCTTGCTGCAGGGGAGAAGTTTGTGCGTTCAAGGAGATGGACTGATAGCAAAAAAAGCAATCATGGATCGACTGGGGTTATCCTGGACCTGTGGATGAAAGCTCGATGTGAGAGGTGGGCTTCCAGAAAGCCTGGCTCATCGAGAGACAAAGGGCCAAACGACCTTTCGAGATTCCTGGGGTCACTCAGCGTGATTGTTGAAACCCCTCTCTCATCTTGGGGTTCCAGCGAGACGCATTGTGCAAGTGAGCTCTTGGTGGCCTTTACGAACCTGAAAGGTCATAAAGGCGAGGCGCGTCTGAATGCCTGCTTTCACGCTCGATCACCCGAGAATCTTGCGGTCCCTCGTGTTTGGGAATTGCTTGCGCCTCCGCGTGGAAGTCCCCATAGCCATCACGTGACGAAAAATGGTTGTGAAGATTGTTGGATATTACACGTGGTGCACCATGTTCAGTTTCCAGGTCATCCAAAGGGGTTTGATGGGGATTCTGCTGTTACCACGTGAACATGACCCAATCATAAATAGCCACGAAAGCAGATAGCGTAGTTCCCTCGAGAGGTGTGAGGAGTCACACACCAAAGAAAGGTGGACAACAATGAGGCTTCCTGTTTTTTCGCTACAAGCCTACTGGGATAAGGGTGATGCCAACAAACGGCTGTAACTATACCATGTGAGAAACCATTTTCCCACTTCTTAGTGCGAGCTGCATGTGCAAAATGAGAAAGCATAAATGTACCATACAAACTTTATCGTTTACCAAAATCCATGGAAAAAATCATACTGTATATTTTTTTCATGCATCCAAAGTGAGTAGGATTCGCAAAACGCATGATACAAGCATTGGAGGTAGAGATAGACAGTAAACACATGTATCCACATTCAATAACTTACAATGTACCACTCACATAGTGCATGCTGAGGCCATGTCTCATTCATCCAGTTATGTTTCATCCAGAGTGTTCCACTACTGTGTATTTCGTATTGCTTACCAGGACTCACCCAGACGACCCGCCCTGAAGAGATCCGCGAAAGGTCTCAACAGCGAACTGGTGGTGGTTTGCTCCCTGCATTCGCCACTCTTTTCTTGATGTTTGAAAGCTTACCGAATTGAAACGTATTACAAATTTCTGCAGAGCATACTACCGTAGAAAGCCACTCTTGCAGTGCTGGCTTTGGCACGAGCCCCTTCCAAACACAATGACATCAGCCTCCCCTTTTTACTTACCCTCATTCTGTCATTTCTTGTCCTACGCGCAGAGCACGTGTCACACGAAATCCTTTTTCTTTTTTAGGGAACGAAGCTTTACGGTTCCAACTAGGCTGGTCCGTGTGTAAGATAAAGCGACGGTATACTGCATCTGATTTTAGAGTTATCCTTTACATTACAGAGATGGCGGCCGTGAGTGCGACAGTCAGGAATCATCGGCAGAGGACAGAAGAGGACAGCAGCGACGGCTACGATCAGGCTGACTATTACGAGACCAATCTCCATGCGGCGGACCAAAGGCACGAGCAGAGCTACCAGTACCACTCATCCCACCCCGCTGCACCGGCATCAACGGCAGCGCCGCCGGTTCAGGGCATTCCAGTAGCATACGGCCAGCCAGTGCCGCCCGTGGCAGGGTATCCGCCTTCCCAGCCGTACCCGCAGCCTTCCGCTTACGCGTACGGCGCTCCTCCCCCAAGTGGAGCGGGAGCGTACCATCCGGGGCCGTCGGTGGGCGTGACGGATAGCAGCGCGACGGTCATGGCGTGCCCTCGCTGCGGCGACTACTACCCCCTTCCGTACGGCGCGGAGAGCTGGCGCTGCAAGCGGTGCGGGAAGCTGAACCACCTGCGACCCGAGAATTTCTGCTCCGTGCTGTGAAGAGAGGATTCGTGCAGGGAGGGCTGGGAGGGAAGAGTTGGCGCGAGTGGCGGAGAGGATTGGCGTGAGGAGTGATTTTCGGGTTTTGGATGGCGGGGCTGGGGAGTGGTGGTTGTGATTGTGGGTGGTGGTGGAAGAGAGAGCGAGGCAGAGGTGAGATTGTGGCACATGGGTGGAGGAGAGTAAGGGGATGTCATGCATTATCGGTTGGAGGTTGCATACATGCCTGGATGTGCTGTGCACTGGGTTTCTTGCTGGGCGGCTTGTACAGTTTGGTGCTTGTTTATTGCTTAAGCTTATGCTAGACAGAGTTACGGTACATGAAACATGTGACCACTCCTCGTCGTGCTTAAAGCCCGCATCCCAAATTGCGGGCCGTGAGGGTCAAGTTTTTAAAACTTGACGAAGTTGAGTGTCCGACCTTTTGAGAGTCATGCACTTGCAATTTGGGACTTCTGAAGACAGATTCACTCACCAGGGGAAAAACTGAGGGTTGGCTGGGTCTCGCGAAAAAAACGAACCTAGACAAAATCGGAAACTCTCGCCAAAGCCCACACCAGAAAAACTCCCTCTGGTCAACTTTTAAAAGTATGAACAATTTGGGCCGCCGGCTTTAACTTAGGTACCGTACATAGAGGGGATGGATGGACCATTTTGAAATGTACTGCTATAGCAAGCGTTCCCAATGAGCCCGGGCTTGGGTTTGTACTGTGTCTCCCATTAGTTTGTTGAGACAGCAGGCAAGTGCCATCTACAACAAGGCCTGAACGGAAGTTGTAGCGTGGCTGCCTGTGTACATGTGATGACATGATTGCTTGCAGTGAGCAGGCAAGGATCTGTAGCTTACAGCACTCCATCAGATGTCATTGATGAGTGATTTTTTGCCAGAAACATTCATCAGGAGCACGGTGGAACAGGTCATGTGGAGGCACTGACCATGCTTGGCTGGTTGGCTGCCTGGCTAGCTGAATGGTTTGCTAGTTGATTAGCTGGTAAGCTGGACGCTTGGTTGCTGGGTGGCTGGCCAATTGGCTGGTTGGCTGTTTGGTTGGCTGGCTAGCTTCTGTATGCATGCTGCATCGTGTGTGTGTGTGGATGCCATGCTGTTGCACCTTCTCCCCTGATTGCGTGCTTCTCATACCAGCTCCACCTTACTCTAACTCACGGCCTTACTCATACCTTACTGTCCCCTGATTGCGTGCTTGGCCCGTAGTAGCCAAGTCCCCTTGATGCCACAGCATCGGGCTTGTGATCATGGCACGGCACAACACCTGCAAAAGGACTCTCTGTCCTGCTTGGGTGTTTGTGCCCAGGTGCCATTCAGACTCCCACCCCACCCACCTATTTCACAACATGCAAGCCCATCCCACCACAGCACAGCGCAACACAGCACACTTACGCATGGCAGAGGAGAGCTAAGCACGACTAAGCACAGAAGCGGCACATGTTGAGGTGTTGGTATTCAACCCCTTGCGCCACCCCACATGCTCTTGGCGCTCTTGCACTGCACATCACCACAGAAGAACCACTTGAGAGCTGCCAATGGGACAGGAACAGGACATGAGAGAAAGGGAGGGTAAGAGAACAGTAAGCCAGATACAAGCTGCAAAAGCGCACATGAACAGAAGTGAGGCTGAATTAAAGGAACAGATAATTGTGTATCACGTCAGATCACCATGGTGTAGCAAACACGAAGTGAGAAATACGTAAGCAAGGCCATCAACTTTCCCCTGCGGAATCTCCGATCATACCTTACCATCGAGAATTTGCAGCATTGCTGATTCTGCCACTACTTCCCGGTTGGTGTTGCCAGAAACAGCCACTGGACATGCAGAGCGGAGGGAGGCCAGGGCATCACATAAAAGGGTACAGAAAGAGGGGAGGACGAACAACATGAGACACCAGAGCCTACGCAAGAACCAACTGATGTTGCAACAAAAAGCAATCGAGAGAAATGGGAAGCGCTGCTCACCCCTCCATTGCTGCAGCTGCAACCACTGTAGTGGCCATTGATGGTGCAACCACCGCTGCCACCACTGCTACTGGTTCCCCTGCCAACCGCCGCTGCCACCTTCTGGTGCTAGATAGAAGGTCTTGCCCTTGTGGTGCTGAAAGGGAGGAGAGCAAGGTACAAGAGAGGGCAGGAAAGGAGGGGTTTGAGAGCTGAGCAGAGTGGCATGCACACCTGGCAACACAGCAGCAAAGACACATGGGCACCGTGGAAGGATGGGAAAAAGATAGAACGGCACAAGAGACAGCATGACAAGGGCGAATGGAGAAGTGGGAGAATTCTTCATCTGATACACTCACTGGTGATCCCTGAGTTGCTGCACCCACTGCTTCCCTGAGTGGTGGAGGTGAGGGGAAGAAGGATGGCAAGGAAGAGCAGGAGAGGCCCAGCAGGGAGAGGAGAAGCGAGCAGATGAGATGCTGAGGATGAGAACGAGCACTGACATGCCAGAAGCGGCTGGTGATTAAATGTCTCGTAACAAAGGAGAGGAGAGGGTAGGAAAGGAGAAGATTGATAGCTGAGCAGAGTGGCATGAACATCTGGCAATACAGCATCAAATACACAAGGGAACCGTGGGAAAATGGACGACAAGACAGAAAGGCACAGGAGAAAGCAGGAAAAGGTGAATGAAGTGAAATACAACTTAAAATGACCCACTCACCACTTGTTGACTGCTCGCCATCATCCTGCACTTGCTGCAGCCACTGGTGATCCCTGAGTCACTGCAGCCAGTGCCCCATTGAGTGCTGAAAGAGAGGGGAGGAAGGATGGCAAGGAAAAGGAGGAGAGGCGTGGGAAGAGGAGGAGAGGAGAGGCCTGAGTCGCTCACGCCTTCGCCCCAAGCAG